TCACCTGCAATGTTGCTATACCCTCCGAACATAACCCTTATCTGATGAAAGAAGTAAAGCACTTCAGAGGAGGGCCTGGCACCTCGGGGGGAAAAAAAAGTTTGCCTTTGAAGAAACATGTAGAGGGACTGACCAATGAATAATGCAGCAGGAATTGAGAACTTTAACTTCATTTAATGGATTTTAAGTTTGCATTGTGAGTTTTGCTTAAAAACAATTCCATACTCGTAAGCTGTTACATACTAGTTTTGTCTACCGCATGGTGAAGGATCACTAACAGTGCTGCATATCACTGTAAACGCACAGATAAAAAGAAAATCATTCGATTAAAGTTTGATTAAAGAGAGGGAGAATGGGTCTAAGGCGTGACTGTGTTTATGAATGCGTAAAGACATCCTAAGACGTGTAATAGATATATTACTGCTATACTACATAACATAGTCGACCTAAAAAATGACAATATGACAGAAGCATCAACACTCTTACAGATCGCCCACAACCACTATATTCATATGGTGTGATTTCATGAGAGATCTTATTAAGTAATTACCTCCTTAATGTTCTTCCTCAATGTTCCTCCAACATTGTCCTAACTACCCAATAAGCCAGCTGTTTGTCGCACAGCCTCCAAATGAAACCATACTTATTTCATGTTTATAAGCTTGGAGACAGAGCCATTTGCCATTTGTTTTCCGATGGCTATCTACTCTAAGTGTACCCAGACTCCCTTCTTCCCATGGGGTCCCCAGCATGTTCGTAATGGAAGGCAGTATACGCTGGTTTCTGCCAGAAAAACACTTCACGACTTGTGGAAATGATGCTTCGTAATGCGGCTCCCCGGATACCTTGCCTGCCGCCTCGCAGGATATGCCTGTTGCACAAAGACTCATCTTTAGCCATGGTGATGATATCACTGCACAACAAAGATTTTTCTTCACATTTGGGTGCATCTTGTAGATTTTGAACTGTCTATCACGGAAATCACCTTAAAATTAGCGTATCACATACAGTTTTATTAAATATAAATCTTTATAAAATCTTTTATTTTTGTCCACCCTTCAGTACCTGTTGGTATGTCCCAAGTTAATGACTTGAATACAGAAAGCCTGAATTATTTATGATTAGAGGGGAAGACAGGGGCTGACTGGGGCTTTGTTTCACACACAAAGGTGATAAGGACATTACCACAATGGAGAAACGTATCAGGGCAATTGGACTCCGTCAATGCTGCCTGCCTATTTTTGGACGCAGAAGAGATGCACCAAACATTCAGAACAAAGGAAAACGAAACACAAAACAATTTTAGCCTGGCAGGTGATTAACAACATTACTCATTAAAAGTTAAGTTTCATGCTTCTCAAAAATCTTGTGTGATACAGTCAAGCTGCAATTATTTTTGTGCTCACTTTGAAGGGGTCTATCATAATCAGCAATTTTTTTTTTTAGGAAGCAAACTTTTTTTTTTTACCATTCGTTGTCCAATGCGTGGAAAGTGAACATGTGCAGTAAAGCCAGAATCTATCGATAATGGACCTCTGAATGCTCAGTGTAACAGGGATGCTGTTCATGACAAATTATTTAAGGATGGGTCACAGTTGTGTATGACGTTAATGGGTATCTGCATTTTCTTCAGTCCGTAATTGTATGTCCTTAAAAGTCCTGGATAACAGATTAAGAATGCAACTGATCAAACTACTAGGGCTAGTACAACCACCACCATCACTACTACTGTTGATACATCGTTGATATAAATCTCTGTTGATGCTACTGTGTCTTCACATACATATATGTGGGTGGGCTACATTTTAATCCTATATGAGATAAATGAACACTTATTCAGGGCTTCTTGATAATGAAGCTCTCTTTTTTGTGGATATTGCATTGTGTTCATTTCTCCTTGGTACCTGATGGTCATAACAATTAGCAAAGCCTGATCCTGCATTATCAGTTTCCAGGGCAGGTGACCAATACATTATGTTATTGTTTTCTAATCAGGCACCTGGGAGCTCTGATTAGTGAGAAAATAATGGTTATGTCAATAGTCCCACCATCATGGCTCGGAACTTCACTCACGTGAACTACAAAACAGTTCACTAATCACAAATTGGATTGTAAAGATTTAAGCGAATCAGAGGTCCATGAGTGTTGTTAAACTTCTGATTTAAAGCTCAAACTCCCGTTATCAAAATATATTGCATTTTTGTTTGAAGGTGATGATCCACGTGAACAAAACAAAGAAAACAGACAAACAAGAACAGTAATGCACAATAGTTAATCTACCCATACAGCCATCATCTAACTGGACCCTCATCATTATCATTAATGTTGTTTTTGTTTCTGTAGTATGTAGGTGCACCTGTTATGTGTTTATGCCCAGTGGTTCAAACAGTGAGAAGGTTCTGGCAGCCTAATAATGGTGTGAGACAGCATGGGGCAGGTCTACACATTCTATTAGAATGCGGGCTTAATGCAGCTTATCAGATTGCTGCCCCAGCCCATCATCTGCGCGCCTCGATGCAGCTCTCTGTTCCTGCCGGGACGCGAGCCATCCGGGCGGACAACAGTCCAATCCGTAGAGTACACATTGCTAATGGCAGGTTTGAGAACGACGAGGACGGAGTGATCTGTCACCATATTCCCTGGCCCTTCTAGTCACCCGGCATCAATCCCATTGAGCATCTGCGCCAGTGGCACCTACGACAAATGGTCCCCGCCTCATCACTTCCTCCTTTTCGGAGGAATGGTGCCAGATTCGCGCCATTACTTGCCGATTCTGACTTCGCTTCAAATCACATCTTGGCTTTGCAGGATATAGCTGGATCCACAAGCTGTAATTTTGTTTATGTTTGTATAGTTTACACACACAAGCACTTGTGTATATATTTCTTTATACCTTAGGGGATTCTAGACCATATTTTTTGTCATAGCCCCCCCCCCCCCCAAATAAAGGTAGTGGATTGTTGGGTATTTTCGCACACCATGTAGGGTGGTGTCCCATATTTCTTCAAAGCTCCCCTCCTCAAATCCTATAATCACCCCTCCCATGTACTGTACCATCCATCAAACTGGGAAATTACACTAAAATTGAAAACCTTTCCTGTTCTTTGACACTTTTTGTAGTCCCCAGTATTTATTTCACCTCATTTTCAATGGGCTACATTTACCTGTTCAAGAGCTTTAAAAATGTGCATGTTTGTTAAGGAGCGCTGCAGATTTCTGCTGCACAGCAGAAAAACCGTCCAAATATCGCATTGCTTACATTTTGGTAAAATACCATATCCGGATAGGATGCTTTGCCTTACTTTCCATCATTTTACCTTTGAACGACCTGCCAGTATTGTTAAATGTTGTGCAGTTTGCGGCATGCATACCAAACAGATGTGTGCCCCTGTGGACTGTTTAAGTATGGAAGAAGTAACATCTAATAGCGTCAGAAAATGGGGAAAAAAATCTGATATTTTCCCCTGTACTCACTTTCGTGGCGAGAACAGGCCTGCTGACAGGTGAAGCATAAAGTCATTTTTCAAGTTAAATGTCAAGTGGTTATGTAGCATAATATTCAGTCTAAATTAACCAGCTCTCCTCTACCACTGTCAATGAACATAAAGTACTTTAAAGAAACCTCTCCCTGGAGCTCGATTTCACCCATTGCCAGTAATGTTTGCATACAGTTTTGTTTTCCTAGCATCCTTTGAAAAAACAACCATTCCTGCTGTAGCTCCGCAGCAGCTACATGTATTTAATTAGCTCTCTCATCTTTTTTGCTTCTACAGTATAGCCATAACCAAAAATCAAATGCGTGATATTAACAAAGAGCTGTTAAAATCCTTGCGTAAATGTTTCAAGTTCTGTAAACACCTGGCTAATACGTTTAGGGAGAATGTGTAGTAAATGTGCAGTCATTTTAAGTGTATTTATTGCTGTATAAATATCCTCGTAAAAAAATAAATAAATCAATGAAATTCGTTTTTTGAATTTTTAAATATAAATAATATATTTTCTTAATATTTCAATTACTGTAATTATCAACAACTGGAAAACTCATACTTTTGTATACTGTACCTTATTGTGAGGAGCTAAAATTCTGGTATAATATCTAGTTCTCATGACAGTAACTATGCATGTAGTGCCCAAGCCTAAATGTCACACGTGTGTCACGAGCAGAAACGCCTGTCACCTCCAGCCACAGCACCCTTCAGGCCTGCTTTAAGGTAAGTCCCCCGCAGATGAGCCTGGCCGGGCCGGCCTGCTGTAAGTGGATCAATAGCAGATCCATTTCCTCCCCTTAATGACAGTCATATTTCACTGCTGTGTCTGACCTTCCCGACTCCCTTCTGTCAGCTGAGGAGAAAATGTGTCAATTAATGGCATTTAGAAGTTTCTTATCAATCCATATTTCTGAGGGGAGGACTGACTATAGCTGGCTGTGCATCCTCCACTCTGCCCACATGCATATTAATATCTGTGTGTGTCTGGCTAAACACAAAATCAAACACGTCACTGTAGTCATTTTTATTCACATATTAATCTGTGGAAAGGTGGAATGATTGAAAATATCTGATAAAATTGAGGGTTATATTATTTTGTACTGTTTGCTACTCTTAACTGGTCACACAAAAACTAACTTAGACGTAGAACTGAAGTAACTCACTGCAGGTTTCTTTGATCACAATTTTAACACTTAACTGGAGAGGGGGGTAGAAACTTATTTAAATTAGCCATATAATTGTCATGGCCAGTAGAGGGTTGATGTATGGAGGATATATGGTGATCATACAGTCTGCTGCATGCATTTTGTTAACGTGGCTTCACTTTGAACTCAAAATTGCTTATAGTTCACAATGAAGATTTGAGAGGGACATTTCCAGGCAGTCTCCACGGTACCAATCAGATTTCCTATAAATAACGCACCTTATACCTTATGATCCCAAGTCAGCTGCACACAGTATACTTGTACATCCGCGTGACATCCTCTCTGCTGCATTTTGATTTCCTTAAAGGGGATCAACGCCAGCCCAAGATTCAGCAGGATCTCTCCAGAGGTCTGCGAGCAGTAAGAGACTACGGAGCCCGTAAGTGTTCCCACGCAACGTATCACTCTGACGCCAGTATAAGTTCCGGATTATCCGAACTATTACAAAAGCTCGAGAAAACTTTGACATCTCTGAGGTCCTCTTGCTACAGTTCACTCTGCGGCACCATGACTCATGTCTTAAATGGCAAACACAGATCAGTGCAAAGAACAACAAGGAAGCGGGTGAAGTCACCAATGCCCCAGCCGAAGTCACAGGCCTCAGCGGCATGTTGCAATCATCCTGTTCATATTTTAGCCCAGTGACATAATGGTTTCTGCTCCACGGCTCTAAATGCCGTGTTTCATGTCAGGGGAACTGGCTGTAGAATTGAATAACAATCCTATTCAAATCTGCAAGTAAATAGCTGGGGGTGACTTAACCTCTCATGTAATACCAATGTATACCTGCAGAAATAATTGAAGCCCTTGACCCCGTCTACATACATGTGACAGTAAAAACAGACTTGACATTTTGATTCGGCTCCCAGCCTTTTCTGGTTGTTGTTTTCTCTTTCAATAATCCATGGGCAGGTAGACAAATGAAAGAGGGAAGCATGAATGATTAATACTGTCAGCCTAGAATAATATACCAGAAAGAGACTATAAATCTGTTTTTGTGACACTTCTTAACTGAATGTGATGCACTTCTTTAGTGAGTACTGTTTGTTTATTTATTAGTTCCATCTCTGCCTGGCCACTTCGGGCCTTTGTCGTACCCACTCGCTGCAGGAGTAACGACACTCATGATTCGATAAGTATGAAAGACAGAGAGCAGGCAGGCAAGCAGGAGGGAAAAGTCTCACTACTCCACCTTTGTGTCCGATTATGCAATTAATACTTCATGAAAACAAAGAAAGCCGCAGAAATCATGCAAATAAATATTTAATATCAACAGTGTCAAAAATACCTCTGGAGTTTGTGGCTGGAATCTTGCCCTTATTGTTTGTATGTTCTCTGCATGTTGCTTTACATACTCTGGTTTGCACCTACATTCTACAGGCATCTCTACAGTATATTGCTTGTAGTGTGTGAGTTTCCGTCAATGGCCTGGCATCCCATTCAGTGTCACATGATTTTATTCAAAGTGAAAAATGTTTGAGAGAAAGCAGAGTTAGCCAGTCTTAGCAGCAACTGAGTATTAAGGGCCATGCTCAGAAGCCGAACAGTGACGTAATCATTCTGCTGATTCTAGGACATCAGCTGGCAACCTTCTGATTACAAGTACAGGGTCCTAAACTACTGTGCCATGCACTGGCCCCAAAAACACAACCAATGACTTAATCATTAACCATGACTGCATGTTATATTCTTAATAGATTATGTGTCTCTTATATTTTATGTTTAATTATGATGACCATATCTTAACCACAGTTATTGCCGAGTGAGGATTCGTGTGAGATTTGTTGCGACAGCCTCAGAGTACAGTGCCTTTATTGTTAAGACGTTAGCAGGTTCTTCTGATCATCCTCAGCTCCCTGTTAGCGTGATACACGGCTGTCACAAGGGTGGAAAACTAATAGGATTGAGGCTGCCAGGCTACGTCACTCATCCCCCTTTCAATAAATAAATAATGGTGATGCTGAACTCTACACAAAGTCGTTTAACTCTCTTACACCCTCTGCATTGACAGGTATGTTTCTGGAAGCCGTGCAATTTTGAGGCTCTTTAGTTTTCTGTAAACAGGCAGGCAAGAAAAAAAAAAAAAGCTTTGGCGCATCAGAATCTCATCACGCTGAAGGCTTGGCAAAGAGATGCTTTCGAAGCCTTTAGTAGGAATGACAATTCCTGATTCCGAAATGCTGCTGATGTGGGTAAAAATGGGCTTTTCTTCATTTTGAGGTGGGGGTGCCTCTAGAAGCAGAGCAACTGGAGCCGACATTAAATGCAGACCCTTTAATTGTCGGCATGTTAACAGTTGGTGCACGGGTCTTTGTTTTGCTCAGTGGTGAAATGATGCAGGCCAAAAACCATATTTCCACTTGATAGGTTGGTCTGTTTTTGTCCCATCATGAGTGTTTAGGTAGGCAGAGGAAATGGCAGAGACCATCACTGGTCATATGTTTCCTTAGCGATGCTGAAGTATCTCCCAGATCTGTTTCTCTGTATATGTGATGGGACTTTACATTGAATGAGCTTATGAATATTCAGGGAAGAAACAGGGTTTACAGCCAACATAAATTCTAAAGCCAAAATATATGTGATATTTACTGCCTTATGTTGATGTAGCAAGAGAGTGCATGGTCCAACCCACAGATAACAGCCAAGCCTCTGAGAATCCAGAAAACCCCAAAAGCTTATTTTTACCCCCCCCCCCCCTTTTAGACAGAAACATGGCTTAGCAGTTGTAAGGGTTAAAAATCCCACACCTTTTCTCTCTCGCAATAACCCCCCACTCTCAAGCTCCTCTGTGATTTATGGCCTGATCTTGGCCTGTTGGGAGTTGACAGTCGCTTTCATTTCTTATATATATTTTTCCCTCCTTACCAAGGTCACCAAGGAGCTGGCCCTCCTAGTTTTCAGCGTTCGTCCTCCGACACCCTTCCCCCGGTCGGGGCCCATGAATCATCCCGTCATTGCATCGAGGACCCTGACGCTTCTCCTCTAACGCAGGGCAGCCAGCCTCAGCAATCTTTCTTCATTCTCGCTAACAATTTGGTAATGAAATATTGATTTTTAGTTAGATTCAAATAACTTTATTAAGTTTGCATTGATAAATCGTCCCCTCAGCTGGCCTGGAAGTGCCTCAGTCAAAAAGGGCCTAACCACACCGTTACAGCTGCTGATGTTTTCATCGGATGCTTTTGGTCGCTCCTTCTCTGATTCACATGAAGATCCTAGTGTCTGTCATAATTGCTGTGGGATCAGGGCCAATGTGTCATTGCTGTTGATATATTTCAGAAGAGGAAATAAAAGTAGGAAGGCATACGCACAGTCAGAGGCGACATTTCGTATCTCCACACACCACTCATTAAAAGAAAGCCCTGGAGCTTGATATATGGAGGGGAGACTTGTATTTCCTTTCTAAAATTTTGTTTCCCCACATTTTTGACAGTGATTAGTGATTAATAGCTCCTGTTCATATTTGAGATATTACACATCTCTTTCCAGGTGACACATTTTAAAGTAAATTGTTGGACTACTCAAGATATTGTTCAATGGTTCGGTATAAGCATTAAGGATGCTTTGTACTGTATTATATATCTATAGTGCATTAGAGATGAGAGCTTCATAAGGCAGTCATAATGTATAATAAACATGCCTATAATATGCTTTTTTATAAGTATTTATATCCATGTTTATAATTCTTTATGAATACATTATGAATGTGTTTAGAAATTGCTAAAAAGGCCTTTACCTTTGTCATATGATAGTTTTCTGTTCCTATCTTTTATATTAAATGGGTCGGTGCCGACCCGTGTCTTAAATCAGCCATAAAATACCCTCAAAACAATAATTTATCATCGCATTTGTTTCTTACCTCTTGGTTACATTGTTAAGCTCCTTTATCCATGAAAAGATTGGTTTTAATATTTTTGGTGTGGCTTTCTGGACCTTTCTTTTGACAGCATACCTCTCGTTTTCAAAAAAAATAAAATAAAAATAATGGTAAAATAAACCTCAAAAGAATTATATAAATAAACTGAAATGGTCTTATCTTGCCTTACATGTCTGAGCATGCCTTGCCTAGTGAAATTATTTATTTATTTATTTTGTTTAAATAGAGGTTCCAGGCAAAGTCAAAAGCCTTGATGCAGTACACAAATTTATGTGGTGCTTTTATGCATTTTAAACTTTCAAACGGGTCGGTGCCGACCCTAACAAGACAGCAAGGTTAAGTAAAGTGTTACCGAGAATCCTACTTAGGTGTTTTTTTGGAAATGTTCCATGTATTACCAATGTTCCAGAAACTTTCCTTAATTCCAAATGTATAATTGCTTTGATTATTATCTCAAAACATTTGGAATTATGGAAAACATTCTGGAAAATGTTCTTAAAAAATTAATGCAGTCCTAAATTAATGGTTACATTTAATTCACAGATCTTAAGAATTATTATTAAGAATATTAAGAATTCTTATTATTCTTTTTAAGAATATCACAAGCAAGGTCCAAAAAAAGGCATGAAACAAAACCTAAATGTAGCCTACAGTAGGTTCAATCCCCCTTAAATAGGTCTGCTTAGCTGGTAGACTTGTGGATATCTCAGGCGAACACAGGTCCATCACAAGCATAGGCCAGTGTGTGACATTGATGAATAGGTGGACAGTAGTGGGCCTCACTGACATCAAGTTTCTTTGTTTTGGGCAACATACACTGGCTTGGTTTTCCAAAAGTCATCTGCAACCCTAGTAAAATGGGAACCACATGCAATCATGCACAAACGCCATCATAATGTTAGCCATGCAGATTTGTTGAGTGAGAGTTCATGTGATTTGTGGTATCATTACCCAGCCATATAATTAGAAGTGTTTAGTTAAAATAGTTGATCAGACACCATGTACTTGACATTGTTATCTGCAGAATAGCACCCAGAGGATTTAAAAATATTTGAATAAATCATTGATTTGAGATATTTGGTTACGTGTTATAATATGAAACATGCTTTGGATTCAGTGCAAGCACAACCCTATGCAAAGAAGTAAAATTAATATCATCTCAATTATCAGTATTGGTGCCATCTCTGTTTGTATAGTCTTTTCCCTTCTCACGCTTGCTTTTAAATCAGAATTACAAAATCTAAAATATTTTTATAATGCATCAGACTGTCATTCCCCAAAGGGCGGGATCTGCAAACTGAGCAGAAATTGGCTCTCCACCCCCCCACCACTCTATAAAAACCATTTGCCCCACCCATCTGGCGCAAAGTATTGTTGCCCCATGCACTATACCAAGCATTTGAATAACCCTGTCTCTCGTGTCTCCTGCCCTGCCTTTTCCTGCCCTGCTCATCCCTGCCCTGCCTGTTCCTGCCCTGCCTGTTCCTGCCCTGCTCATCCCTGCCTGCCTGTTCCTGCCCTGCTCATCCCTGCCCTGCCTGTTCCTGCCCTGCTCATCCCTGCCTGCCTGTTCTTCCTGATGTGTTTACTTATCTCGTGGATATTCGTGGGACTGACCTTCTCGGCTTCCGGTCCATCAGGATTTCCCATTATGACTAAAATTCCTGCTTTGCGAGTTGGATACTGTTTGCTCAGACTTTCCAGTAAAACACTCGGTCTCCCGCATCTGGGTCCCCTGTCCCTCCTGTCTCCTGGTCGTGAACGCTTCGCCATCCGAACTTGAATCCCACAGAGACCCAGCAGCAGCTACAAGATCAAGTAAATCAACTCGCTGCATTGGTGCAACAGCTGATCCAGGATCAAGCCTCCCAAGTTTCCCTGTCAGCTCTCCCCCCCATGCGCTGCTGCTCTAGTACCTGTGGCACTCTCAGAAAAGTGCGGTTGTAAGGCAGAACAATGCTGTTCGTTTCTTATGCAGTGTGGACTTTACATGCATGAACATCCTGAACGTTTTTCAGCCCGAGTCTGTTTCCTTATATCACTGCTGACAGGGAGAGTATCTGAGTGGGCCACTCTCTTGAATTCCACAAGAGACTTCCAACCAGGTTTCTGTGAGGTATTTGATCACCCTTCCGTGGGTCGTAGCTTAGGAGATTGTCTTTGTGATCTCCATCAAGGCTCAAAGACCACTGTGGATTTCTCATTGGCGTTCCGGACGATTGCTGCTGGTCTTAAATGGCCAGACAACAATCCCCTACTAACACGCATTGGCTCCAGAATTACAGGATGAGTTCGCTTCTTGAGGGGAGACTTTCACCTTTGATGAATATGTTCGGCTCTCCTCCATTACCACAACAACATCAGTGATTGCTGTCGTCACCATGGTCAGAACAAAAAACACAGGCATCCGGTTCCACCCCTTACACGGAAAAGCCCGAACCGATGCGGCTCAGTCACAATCCACTGACTGGAGAGAAACGGCAACAGTGATACCAAGGTCATCTCTGCCTCTATTGTGGGGAGTCTCGACATTCCCTGCCGGATTGCTTGGTGCGTCCCTGCCATAAAGAAGATCAATCATAAGACAGCCCCTTTGACTCTTCAAGGTGGGGCTGATGCATAGGGAACAGCTTAAATTATTTGTTATTCCCTCTGCTCAAGATCCCATTATTCTGGGATATCCCTGGCTTTGTGATCACAACCCCCAGATCGATTGGTGCTCGTGTGAGTTGTCCACCTGGTCCCCTGAATGCTTCATGTGATGTCTATGCTGCTTAAGACTTCTTCCATAGAGAGTCCAGAAGCTGAGGTGCTGACAGCAATCCCTCCAGAATACCATGAATTCCTGAACATCTTCAGTAAGTCCCAGTTGTTTTAGCTCCCTCCACTCCAGGCTTGTGATTGCTCCATTGATCTCCAAGAATGCCCCCCCCCCCTTCCTAAAGGACAGCTATTCTCCTTGTCACAACCAGAGGAGGAAGCTGCAAACACCTATGTCAAGGAAGCCCTGAAACAAGGTATAATCCACCCGTCCACCTCTCTGGTGATGTCCGGTTTCTTCCTTGTTAAGAAGAAAGATGGAGGATTAGGACCTTGTGTGGATTATCATGCGCTCAATGCAATCACAAGTAAACAAAGGGAACCATTGCCCCTCATCCCTTCAGCTGTGGAGAAACTACAGAATGTGGTCGTATTTACCAAACTAGATTTGTGGAGTGCTTATAACTTGATCCGAGTTCAGGAAGGGCACGAATGGAAGACGTCTTATACTACCTACTCTGGTCAACAGCCTGTCCATATTCCAAACTTTTATAATTGAGGTCCTGGCCAGTTTAATAAATTCATGGTAGTTTACAGTATATTGATGATATTCTAATCTATTCTTCCAATCCCTAGCAACACATTTACCATGTCCACAGAGTCCTCCAATGGTTGTGAAATAATCACTTGCTTGAGATTTTCTTGCTTGAACAAAGAAAGAGCTGCAACGATTTCTGGGCTTTTCCAGCTTTTATCATAGGTTTATCCAGAATTTCAGAATGTTGGTTACTCTATTAACTTCCACAAACTGCTCCAACTCTTTGCCAGCCTGATCCAGAAATCCCATTTGAAGTAGAGGTTGATGCCTCAGATGTGGGAGCAGATGCTGTCCTACTACAATAACACTAGGTGACGGGTTGCTGACACCCATGTGCGTATTTTCCAAAGAAGTTCTCTCCTGCCAAGTATAATTATGATGTGGGTAATCAGGGGCCTCATGTATAACGACGTGCGTAGAATTCACACTAAAACATGGCGTACGGACAAAACTAGGAATGTGCGTAAGCAAGAAAAAATCCAAATGCATAAAACTTTGCGTAAGCACAGATCTACACATATTACCTTTATAAATCCCACCGCCCGAGCCCGAGAATGGGGGGCAGCATTACAACGCTGCTCCTGTTCATTCTGTGGGTTTATGAGCGGCGTGAGAAGCCACGACTTCAGTGGGTACCCACTGTCCCCTAAGGAGTTGTCAAATGGTTAAATCAAGCAAAGCTTACAGTATTGGGCCAAATTATAAAATGGGAAAAATCAGCCATCACATACCACCCCATTTTCAAGTTTGTTTCCAACACTACTGTTTCTGAGGATTAACGAATCATGGGTTGAGCCAGGCCATCTAGCCACAACATTAATGCAGGGGCGTCAGAAGCATTTTGAATGTGGGGGGACACACTGGCATAAAACTAATGTTTCATGTTAAATGTGGGGGGATCCAAACTAATAATTATGAAATGTAAGGACATGTCCCCCTCAGATTTAATAGTGGTGACGCCCATGCATTAATGAGATGCATGTTCGAATTGCACATAATTTGTACATTAATAGAGTGAAAGTGCTTTCTATGTACATAAGCAAATTTGTTCTCTGAAGGTGCCTTTATAGCAATGTGCACGCAGTCGATGGCTCCGATTACATTGGGAAAACCGGACATCGCTGCAAATTGCGCTTTAATGTTTGCCTGTTCAACCACAGTGTAAGGAAATTTTATATATTTGGGTGACAAGCGGATTATGCCGTCCCATACAACTGGCATGGCGCGACTTGGTGTTGATTGAGAAATACCCAATCAGTCTGCAAGTTCTCGCTGAAAAGCACCTGTGGCTAAGAACCCGCGAATGGACAGAATTTGTAAAGGAACAGGTATAGCGCAATTCCTCATCGTTTGCCTTTGTATTGCTGGCCCCAGTTCAGCACACAGCTCCAAAAGGATTGCTCTTGGAGATCTGAATAGACTTAGAAGCCAATCATAATCATGGGCCAAGAAATCACTATGATCCCTGATCCTATGATTCTTCAGTAAGCTATGTCTTCCAATAACACAAGAGCTGCCATGGTAGTTGTAATGGTTCGGTTATTTTCTGCACTGTTTTATTGTTACAAATTGATTAAAAATCAGGTGCCATATATTT